CCCTAAAGCGCCCTAATTTCTTCTATTTATAGGCAAGTGCTATGGATGAACAACCTATATCTATTCTAGGGCTAATTGAGAGTGGAACAAGGCCTTCTAGTAGTGATCTTGCTCAAGGGATGATTAGGAAGTATTTTAAATGATTTAATGGGTTTAATTTGACCTAAATAGGTCAAATTGACCCAAGGGAGACTTGGGTTGACCAAGTCAAGGGTTAACTTGGTCAACCTGGTCAAAGAGGTCCAAGGGATGGGGTTTTGAGAAAAAGATAGGTTTGAATTGAGTTAGAACTTGAATTGACCCATTTAGGCTAATTGGGTCAGCCTAGGTTAACCCAGGGTTCAAGGGAGGTGAGAATTAGGCTTGAGAAACACTGAATTGGATTTGAAATTGAAAGGAAGGGAATTAGGTCAATTTTGGTCAACCCAAGTTGACCCAGGGCCTAGGTCTAGGCTCAACATACTTAGTTTGACCCAATGAACATAAGGGAGGTGGTCTTGGGGCCTAGGTTGGTCAGTTTGACCAGGTCAACTCCCTTGACCAGGGGTTTGATGAAATCAACAAAGATGATGTCAAAAGAGAACAAAGGAGCATGAATGCTACCTGCTAGCATCAATATGCAAAGCAATGTTCAAGGAACTAAGCATAAAGTACTAAGTCGCTATTCTGTAAGTTTCTGGTCGATTGAAGTCAATATGTCAACTATCTATGGATACATCTAACGAGTTATAAAGACAGATAAGTAGCGTGGCATCCAAATAATCTATTGGATATCCACAGGGGAAACCATCATCGTGGCATCTAAAACAAATATATAGAGATCCACAGAGTAGATCAGCTCAGAACAAACCTGGTTCACTTTAGTATGCAAAAAAAAGTCACTCGTACTTGCTCGACATCAACGCTGAATTCCGCACTTCATTTTCCATTCAAATTCCCGAGATCTTGTTCTCTGCATGATGATTTCACCTTCGGACATCCATGCGTCATTCTTTGCACGTCAACGACGAGATTTTCACGATCCACTTGCGTCGTTAAAATGGCTAAGAAACGAAAAGCTCGTGCTCAAGTACTGGGTTGTACGATATTTTGCTCTGCTAGGGTTTTGTGATTTTTGCGATCCTCTGGCCGCCACTGCCTCCTCCCCGGGGAGGATATCTCCTCAGGGATGTCCTCCTCCATTTTTCCCCCTCTCAACCCCTCGCTCAACATCCCTTCCTCTTCTACTCTTCTCCCTCGTGACTGGAAGAGCCTGATTGCTACTCAACCGCTGGTGTCGAATGAGTTTACCTCTTCGATCACTCACTTTCCGACTGATAACGCTACAGCTCACTTCACCTCACCTCAGTTCAATGCTGGCTCGCCTGAATGGGTTCTCTCTTTGGTCGGCTATTCGATTGGTCGCCGTCCATATTACGAAGCCCTCCTCTCCACGATCAAAAAAGCCTGGTCCTTAAAAGGTTCCCTCTCCCTGCTTACCTTGGATGATGGCTTCTTCCTTCTCAAGTTCAATAATAGAGAGGATTACGACATGACATGGTCAGGCGGACCCTGTTTCTTCTTTGGAAAACCTTTTATTCTGCAGAGGTGGAAGTCAGAGTTTGTCCCTGTCCGGGAAGAGTTCCCATCTATTCCGCTGTGGATCAAGATAAAAAACTTTCAGTTGTCTTGCTGGACTCTAGAGGGAATCTCCAAGATTGTGAGCTGTGTGGGAATCCCGTTGGCTGTTGATGCCCTGACTGCTGCAAAAACGAGTCTAACTTTTGCTAGAGTGTGTGTTCAGGTTAGTAGCTCATCTCCTTTGCCAGATGAGATTTACTATACCGTGGATGGTAAAATTTTTCCCCTGGCCGTGCTTTATGATTGAAAGCGTTCTCACTGCTCTTTTTGTAACTCCATTATGCACACCCCAAATTCCTGCCCCAAAAACCCCAACCCGCAGCAAGCTGAACCATCTCAAAATCGTGGCAGGAGCACCAGCCGTAAACCGAGGAAATTCCCTCCCAAGTTGAATATCCCAAAACCCCGTGCACCAAACGTCCCTCGGGCACAACCACAACCACCCCCAATTCAGACCCCATTACCAACAGACCAACCTTCAACTTCGGCTGATACCACTACAACCCATATACCCAATCTTAACTCACCTTCTGAGGACTTTATTCCCTCCCTCCCATCTCCGACCCGTTTACACACCAATCCCTCTACTATTCCCACTACCAAATAAATTCAATGCCCTTTCTAACCAAGACAATCAACCTGAAACATCCACTTTTGTGAATTCAGCTCAACCACCATCTTCATCCACAGACAGTGAACTTTTGGGGAAACCTCCTGACCCTCCTAAAATGGCAAGTATCGGCAACATTAGTGATAAACAGTACTCTTCTGTGCAATCCTCAACAAACAATACCTCCAAATGCAAAAAAGCAAAATCGGCCAAGAAGGCCTCCACCTCATCCTGCAAGTCCCAATGACCAGACCCCCTCTCTTAGAGTCCTAGAATACCCGTGGGTTTAACAGCCCGTACAAAGCTGTTTGCTGCAAGAATTTAGTTACAAAGTTTGACCTTGATCTTCTTTTTCTTTTTGAAACCAGAATTTCAAATCCCTTACCCCACAACCCTTGGTTTACCTCCACACACTCTGTTTTTTCACATGAAGGCTCATATGACAACTTCACTTACTCTAATCCTGGAAGAATTTGGATCAAATGGAACTCACTGAAAGTGAGTTTCAAGCCGCTTTTTACATCCAGTCAGTTGATACATGGAACGGTCTTTTCGGGAGCTACTGAAGTTGATTTCGTATCTGTGGTGTATGCTTCGAATTCTATGGATGATAGGCAGATCCTTTGGAAGGATTTGTCAGATCTTGCTGTTAGAATTTCTATTCCTTAGATTATATTACGGGACTTTAACTGTTGCAGGTCCCCCCATGAGAAAGCTGGAGGTTCTTTACTTACCAATAGCAAAATTTTTGACTTTAATAGCTTGATTTTCAATATTTCTATTCATGATCTCTCATCTGCAGGTCATTATTTCACTTGGTTTAATCAAAGGGTCGAAAATCCTATTCATATTAAACTTGACAGGATGCTGGTTAATGACATCTAGCTTGATACTTATCCAAACTCATTTTACATTGGAAAGAATCCTCAGATTTATGATCATTCCCCTATCATCCTGCAATATGATCAAACTCAGCAACAAAAGCATTGTTTCCTATTCAAAAACTATTGGTTGTAGAAACCGGAGTTCTGGGATTCTCTCATTCAGGTTTTTTCCAAAAAAATTCACAGCAGCAGCCCAACCCATGCCTTTTTTCAAAAGCTTAAAACTCTCAAGGTCAA